GCAACTTGTATCAGTTGATGAAGGCCCGGGACCACAAATACTTTGAAGGCAAGCACGTCAAGAGTATCCTTTACCAGATCTTGTCCGGTCTGGACCACATCCACGCACACCACTTCTTCCACCGCGATATTAAACCCGAGAACATTCTGGTCTCGACCTCCGCCCCCAATGATTCTGCTTTCAGCCGCTACTCTAACCTTGTGACCCCTCCTTCCACCCCTCCTGTCTACACGGTGAAGATCGCCGACTTTGGTCTTGCTCGTGAGACCCACTCCAAACAACCATACACCACATATGTCTCCACACGCTGGTACCGCGCACCTGAGGTGCTTCTACGAGCAGGAGAATATTCGGCCCCAGTCGATATGTGGGCAATGGGCGCCATGGCAGTTGAGATTGCCACGTTAAAGCCCCTGTTCCCAGGAGGCAACGAGGTAGATCAAGTTTGGCGTGTGTGTGAGATCATGGGTAGTCCAGGGAACTGGTACAGCAAGTCGGGCGCTAAGATTGGCGGTGGTGAATGGCGTGAAGGATCACGCCTGGCCCACAAGCTCGGTTTCACATTCCCAAAGATGGCACCGCACGCGATGGAATCCGTGCTCCAGCCCCCGATGTGGCCCGCGGCGTTTAGCGAGTTCGTCACATGGTGTCTCATGTGGGACCCTAAGAACCGCCCAACATCTACCCAGGCGCTTAACCACGAGTACTTCGCCGATGCGGTTGATCCGGTGCGGCCCAAGTCCTCCACCTCGTCGAGACTGCTGGGCCGCAAGCAGTCCGAGAAGAGCTTCAGATCACCAATTCTTACTCCTGGTGACTCTCCTACATTGTCTTCTAAGCCTTCATGGTTCCGAAGATCATTGGTCGTTCGGTCAGACAGCCCTGTGCCTACTGCAGATGACAGCCCTGCCCGGCCACCAGTTGTTACTCAAGTCACTGTGCCTGAGATCCAGCCTGTCAAGCCGCGTCCCGCCAACACCAAGCGGGCTACCTGGGCAAACGGTGCACCGATGCCAATCCTTCCTTCTATCCGCCCTGTCTCCCCTCTCTCCAACTCCGTTACAGCCCAGGCCACCGTGGCGCACAGCGAGGCTTCCAAGTCCTCCGATACCTCAGCTAGCTCAAAGATCGGTCGTCAATTGTCCGTCAACTCCAATGGGAATCACTACTCGGACGCGAATCGGCAAGAGGCCGAAAGGATGCTCAATGGTTCCGGGACGAACACCCCAACCACAAAGGAGAGTTTCTTTTCACACCTGCGCAAGCGCGCCCGCAGATTGTCTGGACGAAACCAATCAGCACCTGCTGATGACGTCGAGGCTAACGCAGGTTGCATCCCTTGGTCGAACCGTTCATCAGTGGCTCTTGATGGGCCTACTAGTGAACCAAAGCAAGGTTCTGACTTGAGCGAGCTGGACAAGGCTCTTCAATGTGTCAAGTACTCATTGGACTCGTCCACAATGAGCAACGTCCCGGTGCACTTGCACAATTCCGCTGACGGCCACACCAAGCGCCAGTCAATGCCTCAGGCTACTAGCAATAACGCTGCTCCGATCTCTAGCAGGACTCGCCGTGCCATGCAGATGTCTACCCACCCGGTTCACCGGTACGAGACTCCTGAAGAGGAAGATGAGTTGCTTGATGAGGTGTTGCACTCCACCAGCAAGGCGGCTAGACGCCTGGCTCAGACTCAGTCAATGGCTGTCGACTCGCACAGTCGTACTCACCGGCAGCCAGACAACTCGCGTGCAGTGCAGAACCCCTATCCTACACCCTCGCCCACAGCCAAGGACAGTGCTACGTTTGGTCAACAGTCGACACCGAGCAAGTTGAACATCCACAAAATTGATCCCCCAGCCACAAACCGTCACTGGCCTACCCCTCCTTACGAGGAGTCCGAGTATCACAACAAGAAATCCGACTACTTTGCTCGTGGATCCAACTATATCTAAGTGTCTCAACCACCGCCTTGCACCACATCACATCCTTTTCAGTTGCGAAAAGCACAAAAATTTGGCAAAATTGCACAACAACGGAACAAACACCGAGCAACATAGCTCAAGGCGTATGGATTCGGGATTTTTTTGTTTTTTGTTTTTGTTTTTTTCACAAGGTCTGGCCATTTCAGAAGGTGTTTTATCTTTTTTTTCACATATGGGCATTGGGCTTTCGCCCTCGTTGCAAGTTTCTCATTTCCCTCACTTCATACCCCTACAGGCATTTTTATAGATGGATCCGGGCCTCGTTTCTTTTTCCTTTTCATGGAGTCCTTTCGTTTTATCATTTACCAGGGGCGTGATTTCTTTCCTTGACATTTGATACCACATGCGCGAGTCGCATCATACACCGCATTTATACCTTATTAGGTCACCCTCTCTACATCCGATACATCTGATATCGGATCTGCACATCTGCACATCATTCTCGATGAATATTGCGCTCTTTTTCTTTTGTTTATATAATTTCCCCCTTTCTTCCCCCGCTTGTACATTGTCAGGCTACCGCCATTCCCATATTTATTCTTCTTGTCTATCATTTTCCTATCACTTATTTATCCCTGCATTTACATATTCCTGTCATAGCCCTACCTCCTGCTTCAATTTCTTGTATCATTTCCTCCCCCAACCTCGATGTTCTGGCTTGGATCCAGTCCGTTCTATACATTTGTAATATACATCCGCCTTTGGCCGTTGTGCCATGCCCATACATACATTGAATCTACATATACATTGAACTACTCAGACTCTTATATTCAGACCTTATACTTGTTTGTAAAGTTTACTTATTTGTATCTTCTCTCAAGTTTCTATCAAATTAGTTGGTATGGGGTGGCGATGGAAAATGATTCACAGCGCGGGGAGGTGAAACTAAGACTGTAGATTTAACTTGGGCAGATAATCATCCTATACTGTAGAAGATAGGTCATTCTATCTCACAATTACGTAGTGAATGTAGAAAGATCACACAGCGTCTATACTTCTCCTACTCCATACATGGATCGATATGGGCGGAACAACGATCATCCGTCGCCCATCAAGATTTCCTGATTGAGACTGCTCTGCTCGACTCTACCAACTTTTTTTCTGGTCCTCAATTGCTCCCCGGCACCACCTCACCAGTCGAAACTAGACTGGTCATAGCTTGGAATCCAGGCTACTGATACCTTAGCATAACTAGAACGCGCCCTAGCAAGCACTTTTCACAAATCGCGGGCCGATCACCACAAAATCAACCCGCCCGCCAACAGCTACGAGCTTAACCTCGCGCAAGCGAACTCCAGCTCTATCCTTCAACACACAGCACTCTATTTTCCCCGCCATACACCAACACCAAACCCGCCAAAATGTCAAACCAAAGACAAGCCTCCTCCGCCTCTCAAGTCCCCCACCTCTCACCTGCCGAACTCTCCTACCTCTACACTTCCCTCAGCCTACCCAAGAACCCAATCCGACCAGATGGCCGCTCACCCACACAATTCCGCCCTCTCTCCGCCGAGACCACTATTCTCCCCGGCGCGAACGGCAGTGCGCGCATTGGGTTCGCAGACGGCACGCAAGCGATCGTCGGCGTGAAAGCGGAAGTCGAGAAGACTGTTCTCGCCGCCGATACGCTCGACTCGCGCAGTCTGGCGCAGCATGGCGACGCACTGAACCGCGAGGGCGAGCAGGGCTCGGCCGCTGTCTCGGGACAGGGAGAGTGGGTGCAGATGTCGATTGAGATCCCCGGATTTAGGGACGATGATGCCCTGCCTGTGTTTTTGAGTGAAATGATGCGGGAGAGTCTAGTTGGTTCTGTTGCTGATGGGAATGGGGATGGCGCGAAGGAGATGGCTGGTGGGTTGAAAGGAAGGCTTGTTATCAACAAGCGGTGGCATTGGCGCTTGTATATTGATGTAAGTTTCTGGGAACGCGCTCTGTCTTTGGGTTTATGGTTTTGCTGTGGTTCCAAAGGTATGGTTTAATCACTGCTAACATCTGATTACCAGGTCCTGCTCCTCTCCCAACCCCTCGCATACCCCCTCCCCCTCCTTTCGCTCACAACCCACCTTGCCCTCCTTAGCACTAAGCTACCGAAACTCAAGTCCACGGGCGAAGAAGATCCCTTCTTCGACGATGACTGGGCCGCCGCAGAGTATCTTTACCCGCGCTCCAATACTTCCAAATCTCCTCTCTCCGCCGCACCATCACACCCCGTCCGCCCACCCGTAACGCTGCTTGTGATTTCCGTCGGTGACAATGTTATCTTCGATCCTAACCGCGAAGAAATCGCTGTCGCAGACGCTGTTCTGGCTATCTCAGTTACGCGCAGCAGTGATTCCGAGACTTTGAAATTGCTCTCGATCCGCTCGATCGATCCCCCCTCCCGCCTCACTCAACCTGGTATCCCCAATTCCGAGAATGTGAATATGCTCGGTGCTTCTGCGGCGCCTGGCGAGGAGTCTGGTGGCCAGGAGGAGGTCGAGGGTGTCTGGCGTCCACGAAGGGGTGGTGTCAAGCGCAGTGTTATTGCACGCATGGTTAAGACTGTCCTCGGCAAGGGTGGTGTTGGCGAGGAAGTCCTTGAGGGACTCGAGGGCGTTGAGGTGCAATGATTTCTTATGTCGATCCATATCTCATGGCCATGTATGTGTAATAAAGTACAGCATTACTTTCAGGTTGTGACTTTGATATCTGATTTGATAGGTCGCTGCTTCTGGAGTTTGGAGAAAAGCGTTGTCTTTTGATTAAATCGTTGCTGTTCATCGTTCGAGTGAAGTTGAGATAATCCTCCTATCGTAGCTGGACTGAAAGTCCACTAATATACAAAATGGATCGAGCTCCATTTACACCCGTCACTGCTGGAGGGGTGTTCAAAAGTCCCCCTTATGTAGGACCTGTTGATACATACCCACAGCTAAACCACATGAACAGCATATGTAGCCTGTGCTATACCTAGATAGCTATATCACCCGTAGATATGGATGAAATAGCCTACCTCCCAAGGTAAGGAGGGAATAACAATCACCAAATTCCCAACCACTTCTTTACGGGCTTCTTATTCCCCTCCCAATCAACAAACTCCTTCGTACCCTCCGCACCCTCAACAGCAGCAACAGGGGACTGAGAATCAACCTCATTGGCACTCTCATCCTTCTTCTTCTTCTCAGGCTCCGCCTCCTCAAGCCCATGTGCAATACGGTACTGCTTCCTCTTCTCCGCATCCTCAACACGGCGGTGTCGCTGCTCCCGCACGCGCATAGAGTTGTGCTGCACATGCATGCGCCACACAGAAAACACCTGCGAGATCGTGCCGATGGGCGAGGTCAGCAGACTCGACCAGGATGGTAGCAGGTGGGCGAATGGGGAGGTTGCTTTGAAGTTTGTTGTGAAGGTGAACCCGGCGCAGGACACTAGGACGCTCTGTGTTATTGGTTAGTTGATTGTCATCTCGGCTCTCCTGGGAGGTTTGGGGGAGATCCAGAGCTAGATCTGGGGATACACCCAGAACTACGTCTGTGCTAGTCGGTAACTCACCAACGCAATCCAAATGTGGATCCACTTGCTCGTTAGGAACTTAAACATCACTGTCCCCTCTGGCGGGAACATGCCCGGATACTGCGTCTTGTTCTGCTGCACGCGCTCTTTCTCCGTCGTGCGCGGGCCATACTCGAATGGTTGGCCTGCGGGTACGTTCTTCGGAGATGGAGTCGTGAGGCGCTGGGGGTGCGAAGGCGGGCGGAATCTGTCGGGTTTTGCGAGGACACGAGGCTTGGAATTGGAATTGGCATTGGTGTTGCCTTTACTAGCTTTCCTCAATGCGGCGCTGGTAGAGGTGAAGCTGCGTCGCGCGCTTTGGCGTTGGAGGGCGCGCAGGGTCAACGCTGAGGGCGGGCCTCGTGGGAGGAGAAACCCGGGGATTGGAGTTGGCATATTGGGATTGATGTTCTTGCCCTTTTGCTCGTGTGGAGGGGTTGGGCTGATCTTGTTGACTTATCTAAATGTGGAACCGTAAATGCAATTTTGGTTTTATATCACGTGACTATATCGGGACATCGGATGCCGATTGAGTCGAGATGTTTGCACCCGGCCGCATATCCTAACTATTTTGGGGCTGGAAAAAAAGTGAGGCCACTTGACCTTGTGAAATTTCACATGGTTCAGTATCCATTATTTCCCATGTTTCCCACCAATTGAAATGGCCTGAGAATACCTCTAAGCTGTACGGGGTAATCAGCGTCATTTCATACTACATGTAAACAACCTAATGAAAGGTCATTGTCTAAGTCTACTGCCTCGGCATCAGGCTAAATTGCATTCGTTGCCGAGAATGAATCGAGAATAAACCGTTTCTGCCTCAGGATCCACACATCGGACCACCAGCGGATCTGCTCGGGCGAATGGGAATCCTGCTATTTCGAAGCCGCGGTGGATCAGGAAGTTGCTCCAGTTCTCCAGAGGGAAAGGGGGACGCGCGCGAGATATGACCGGGGGAATATGGGCACAATCGCTATGGGAGAGGAATTCAATGTTTCAGTGAAGCTTGGAGCTTGCATATGCACAACATGTCAGTCAGGAACCCGCATCTAGGTAGGATGTTCTGAGCCGATGATGGAGTGATGATATCATGGGGGCGGAATATGGAGTGTACATGTTAGTTTGCCACGAGTAAACTGTGAGTTTGAGCTGTTCCATTGAACCATGAGTCCAAGTAAGAATGTAGAAACAAGTGTAAAAGTGTCGGAGTATAACAGACACACCGAAGTTCCCGGTTGCGCCCGTCTACCCTGAATCATCTGACTTCTGATTGGTGGAGAGGTGGATTACGAGAGAGAGCGTCGGGGCCAAGTACAAATAACCAGATTTTCTTTTCTCCCTTCCCAGATTTTTCTGTACAGTACAGTGTCATAATAACTTCTTATTATCTTCATTTAATACTTCACAATGGCCCCTAAGAAGCAAGAATCTTTCGCTCCTGGTAAGCTATCTACCTTCCCCCCATTGAGCTCACAGGTTGAACGGGGAGTCGCCATGGACGCCGTGGAGGTCGAAGGAAGGAAGTGAGGGTATCCAACTCCTAAAATGGCGACACCGTTTGTTACCTGGGATAGCGATTGACACTTCCTCGCCTCTCACATTGCGACTCCTCTTCAACCTAACTACCTCTCAATTGCGGATCGCCGCCTTCCCCCAATACCACGCATCAGTTATTCAACATGACTACCTTTGATGTGTTCTGCACCTTGACAATCATGGATATGCGCGAGGCCGAGCGTGCAGAGGCCCTCATTCAAGAAGCCAAAAACGAAGCCGACAGGATCGCTAATCTCAGCTTCGCTTCAGGTGACGCCACCAAGGGTGCCAAGCTCTTCCAGGTACGTTCTTTATTGCTTCAAGCGCAGACAAAGGAAGAAGAAAGCTTACAGTTTTTTTTTTTAGACCCGTTGCGCCCAGTGCCACACCACCGAGGCCGGCGGTCCCCACAAGGTCGGCCCCAACCTCCACGGTCTCTTCGGCCGTAAGACTGGCTCCTCCGAGGGTTACGCCTACACCGACGCCAACAAGCAGGCCGGTGTTGAGTGGAACGAGGACACTCTGGTAAGTGCCAACTGCCTTCAGTTCAATGATCGCCCGCTAACGATTCATAGTTCTCCTACCTCGAGAACCCCAAGAAGTTCATCCCCGGTACCAAGATGGCCTTCGGTGGCCTCAAGAAGACCAAGGAGCGCAACGATCTCATTACGTACGTTACCCGCGAACCCACATCTCAGTATCCAACTAACAACCCCATAGCTTCCTCAAGGATAACACCGCATAAACGACCTGATGTTCTTTTTTATTCCCCGGCTTTTTGTTCTGTTTCTCCCCATAGAAGTCTGGGATGGCGCCATGGGTTGATTACTCTCCCAAGGACCGGGCCTGTATTTTTATTACAATTTCCATGACCCACAATAGATTTGATCTCCTCTTCATATCTTCTTTTTATAGAACTGCAAACGGGACAAGGTTTAATAAGTGTTTGAGATTCTCCCGGATTATGGGAGATCTGAGTCATGATTGGTTGGGGCCTGGATGTATCGATTGGGCAAACATGAGCGGTCAGGCACGGAGTATACTTGACTTGTACTTGAGGAGTACATCTACAATAATTGCTTGCACCACACAAAATGGAAGTACTTGTGGAGTATCATCCTTGTACCTTTTCGGTATCTGATATGTACACGCCGTGTTGGCCGTCGAGTCTCCAGAGTCAGCACATGACCCAGCAGGGGTCAGGCTGATTGGCCCAACCTCCTCGACTTGGATACAAGTGAGGGGATGCTTTCTCGTCTTCTTCCTGCACTCAAGGCGTTTCGATCCCAGTTTCATATTAATCTCAAGCGCGTTTGCTGACCACATCTTGTCCAACACCAACTATCGAATGCTATCTCGGAGATATCCCGTATCGCCATTTAGAATTCAGTACCTGCCTTGTCGCATCGCATCGCATCACACCTTATCGCATCTTTGTCGTGGGGTTGATTGCGCATATATTCTCTGTAACGGCTAGCGCATGAGACACCCGTCCCAGCGCTGTACTAACCACTCTATTTTAATCAAGTTAAAGGGGTTCAACCGCAAGTGTTCGCCACTCAGAGGCATTGATCTGCGCTTCGTCGCTGAGAACTGCAGTGCCTCTTCTTCCGAGGCGCGACTATCGCGATACGCCGTCCGGGATGCTGGACGAGTTAGACAACGTCTTCGACGACCATCCATCCCTGGACGCGTCGCTCGAAGACTTCGAGAACAATACCAACCCTCACAGATCCCCAATGTTCGCTCTGCCATCCCAACACTCCGGATTCCGGTCTGAAGACTCAGATGGGGAAGATGCAGAGATCGAGGACCCCGCCCAAGAGCGCTGGTCACCTCCAGGCTTCCATCAACCCGAATACATCCAGGGCAGTGGATGGTACCGCCACCAGCCATACCTGCGCAAAGATAACCCCAATACGGATCGCTTGCAGCTGAAACCCACAATCGGGCTGAGTGTTTCCCCATCCCAGTCGCGCGAACCAAGTCCACAGTATGAGGATGCGCTTGAGAGCCCCACGAAGAGTAGACAGATCGATCGTGCCACCCCGGGCGACATCTCTGTCGCGGCTAATGTGCCTCTACCGGCGGGTGCAGATACCCCCCTCCATGGAAGATCCCCAAGTCCGCCTCCGGCTCCGACAGGACGCACGCCTCGCCATAGCCCCGAGGACGACGGGGTGGGCTTTGGCGCGGAAAATCTGAGCAACTGTAGGCCCTGTCTGATCTGGTTTCAGTTGCAGGCGCGGGTATACTAACGATTGTTGTGAATGAATAAAGACATTCGCTTTGCAGTGCGTGCAGAAGTCCAGCACCGAGAACCTATTGCCGCGTTGTTTGGCTACCTGCGCTCGAAGTTCGAGCGCATGACCAGCTCCAAGTCTAACACCACCTTATCTATCATAATCCTCCTCCTCTCAGTCGCGTTCATGCGTGCCCTAGTCCTCCCAGGCCTCCCGCAATCGATCCCCGATCTAGTAAAGCTATCCGGCTTCGCGCGCTCCTTCGAACCACTGATATACTACTCAGAAAACGGCGTTCAGCAAATCGGCACCTTGCAAGAAACCGGCGTCGCAGTCTGGGACCTGAGCGAGTCCGTCCGTGGTACAAACATGACCAGTGCCCCCATAATCGTGCGCCAACTCGACGAACTCTCCGACTCCCTCAAGTCCCTCTCCCTCGAGCTAACCCGCTTCTTCGCAAACGTCGACTCAGACATCGACTCCATCCTAATAGTAATGGACTGGGCCAAGCGCGAGCTCGAAACTCTCTCTGCGCAACCGCCAAGCACCCTCCCCACAATCGTCTTCGACAACATGCACAACATGCTCTCACGCCTTGGAGCACTCGAGCGCTCAGCCCAAATCTCCGACAATGGCGTCTCCGCAACCTCAACAACAACAACGCCCCTCGGCCACCTCGTAATGGCCGTCTTCGGGCCGACCTCCGCACAGCGCACACGCACGACCCTAACCCGCACCTTCACAGAGTTCCTCTCGGTTCTGGAAGAATCAATAAACAGCGAACTCACCCACTCAACCGCACTCTTCGCGCTCTTCGAGTCCATCGACCGCCAATTCCTTAACCTGCAGCGCACGGTGGTTCGCGAATCAGATGCCCAAGAACGCGCAGAGGGCGAGATGCTCTCTTCGCTGTGGACGCGCGTGTTAGGGCCGGATGCCGCAGCCGTTCGCAAATACGAGAAGAACAAGAAACTCCTCGCAAATGTGCGCAGTCGCACAGTCGCTAATAAACACCTCCTCGTTGACCACCGCGGCCGACTCCTCACGCTGAAGGTCAACCTCGAAACGCTGCGCAGGAAGCTCGTTAGTCCACTTGTGCGTCGGAATGACTCTGTCAGCTTTGTTGGCTCGATTGATGGGGGTGGGGGAAGTGGGAATGGGCATTCCGGCTCTACAGGTCGAATACTTGGGCCTGTTGAGGCTGTCATCGACGGACAGATCCGTGGGCTAGAGGGGACGTACGATTATCTACGGACTGTTCGGGAGAAGCAGAAGGCTAAGCTTATGGAGCTAGTGTATGGGGCTGGGAGGAAGCCGAGTCGGGCTATGATTGATGGGTTGGATGATGATGAGTGAATGGCTTGAAGCCTGATCTTATTTATTATCTTTGCTTCCTTTGGCCTCATTTGTGGCATAGCATCCTGTTTTCGGTTGGGTTCTTTTGTCTCCTCTGGGGCGTTTTCTAGGGCATATGTGGCAGGGCGTCCGCGGCTGCGGGCATTTGGGAATATGGTGGCTTACCTGCTGTGCCTCTTTGGATGACTGCTTTGTTTTCTTTTTCTTTTCGTGGCGAATAGGCAGGATTGCGAGGAAAAGGGATAGAAACATGTGGCGCCAGCTGGTTTTACTTCACTTCATGGAGCCGTGCAATTATGGGTTTCTTTTGTGGATGTATGAATGAATCTTCTTGCTGTTCATAGTCATTGTTTTTATGCAACTTTCATACAAGTCCCTGTTTATATATAGAAGAGTCCACTATACTATTTACGCATTTTACTGCCTTATATTGTCGTAGAGTCATACCTTTCATAGCGATATAATGATCATCCTTTTAGCTATAAAATTGAGAAGAAGAATATCTAAAGAAAAAGACAATCAAAGACACATCTGAAAACTATCTAAATTGGATCTTCATTTTTTGTTCATTTTCTTTCTTTGCACCAATAAACTTCTATTCTAAAGAACCCAAGCCAACCTAGCTAGGTTCACAGTGATTCTCATTCCTAAGAATCGCCAGGCAGTAGCCCTGGGGATGGCCACCCAGGTCTGGAATAGCGTAACCACTCGCCAGCAACTTTTCTCTTGTTCCCACACGAGACTGCCCGTTTCACAGGGATGCGCCTGAAGAGAAATCCCTTGACAAATGGAAAAGGCAAGTGTTCGAGGAGGTTATGCGCCGGGTCAGTAACATACTCTTCAACTGAACCCAGGATGACCGTTTGATCAATGGCGAACTGCTCATCAGCGCAGAAAAAGGCATCCCTATTGAGCCAACTGCAGGGCTCTATGTAGATCTTGCTGACGGTGTCCCAGATGTATTCCAGCTTTCCATCGGTTATTTCGGCTTCATCAGTCACTCCAGCTTCACTCGTCACACCAGTATCGCCGTCCCTCCAAGGCAAAACCCGGTACTCAATCGGAAGGTATCCATTTGTATCAGACGGATCAGACCTGTCGTGCACCAGCATAATATTCCGAAGTCTCTCCATATCTTCCTTTGTTAACCAATTCGTGAGGAATATCATAAGCCGTGGGCAATACCAAGATGTCGTTAGTAGAAGCTGCTTCGAAAAGCATGGTTGGTCTGGATTCCAAAGGAACTCTCTTGGGACGTCGGGGCGGACCTCATACTCATGATCACCTGGTAAAGGGGCAGTAATATAGCCCGTGCTTGCTATATAATCACAGATACTGTGCAATTCCATCCGAGTCATGACTGCTGGGACTGGCTGCGAGACACCCCGGCCGTGGAGAGCACCGAACAGCGCCAATTTGGGATCTTCAAGTGGTTGATCGAGATAGATCAGAGGCATTATCGCATGTCTGAGCCCCCCGACCTGAGCATCCCATAGGCGGTACCGCTCCCAGAAAGTCATTAGGTCTCGCCTACTTCTGATTTGGTGTCGGTCCCACGGGACCAGCTCCAGGGTCATTTTAGGGGGTCCCCCGAGAGGAAGAAACATCGTGGGGTGCGCGTCTTCGATCGCTCTTCTAGTATAACGTCGCTCCTTTGTCGTAGTGTGGTAGAGGAGGAATATAACAAGATGTTCATAGCTTGGACGGCGGTTCCAAACAGGCATCTTTATCTCACTGCTGCGGGTATGTGAGACATTGAACGTTATTTCCAAAGGCAAATCGGGACATAGTGCAGCAGTCACGGCCTTCACGTAGTACTCCTTTTCAAGAATTTGGCCCGAGCCAGACTTGAGAAGGGGTTGATCAGGGTCATGTACTATGAAGCCTGCGTGTCCTTCATTTTCACGGATCCATAGGGGTCCCCATTCCCTGACAACAGATTGAAAATCGGGTATTTGGGGGTCTGGTTGAGGGTAGCTGAGGCTCGGATTTTCCGCATTGACCGGGACTGAATGGCAGAGAGCGCGTTTCACAAAGACGGAAATTCTTTCTGAGCGATGCAATCTTTTTGTAGAGACCAAGATCACTGAAATTGCGACCATCGGATCACACTTGGGGTCGCGGTCTTTGGCCAGATGACGCTTTGTCGTTTCGTCTGCCACAATGATTCGTGGGCGACCTGACCGGAATGCTAGAACAGCAAGGGCATGGATATTGCTTAGGCTATCCCAGTGTGGTCCCTGTAGAGAGATAGACTTGAGTAGCCATTCGGATGGCGACCAAATCTTGACGTTGGAGCTGAAGCGGGCATCAGCTTTGAGCTTGCCTACGAAGTAGTGGTTGTAGTATGTTTGGAGATCGTCCTGGAGCATCGACTGCACGTAGCTGGAAATATTGTCTTGGCTAGATTTGTCTAGATCTGTCAAAAGTACAAGTGGCCATGTATAGGCTAGATCCATGGGTTCTTCTGGCGGCTCGGGGCCTCTTTGGTCGGCCATAGTGAGGATTCAGTGATTGAGGTGCGAGGAGAGAGAGATGGAGAGAGAGATGGAGAGAGAGATGGAGAGAGAGAGGGAGAGAGAAAGAAAGAAAGAAAGAAAGAAAGAACTTGAGCACATACCCCTCGTCCGAGATACATAAATGCCGATAATCATTCAAGGCACCAGAAACACAATAATATGACCATATATAACAATAATATAATCGAGTTGAAGAGAATCCATTTGTAAACCCCATACTTTGGGCCGTTCGACGGGTATATTGTAGAAGGAGAGGCAAACTGAGAAAATAAAGGCAAGGTCGAATTTATTGAGAAGAGAGATGAGAGACAAAGGGATGTGATTCAGAGAGTCTTTTATGGCAGAAAACAACAGGACCTGGGCAAGACTCAGCGTACTATTACCCCGGTCATGACAAGAAAATTTGTATGCCTCTGCCCTTTTTGTATGTCTCTTTGGGTCTCTTTTTGCATGTCATTACACCTTTTTGGTTTTATTTTAACACATAGAAAGATGAAAAGGTGGTAAAAGTAAACCGCACAGGTGGCTTGTTTATGTGTGACCAGGGACTATTCATGGATGTATGCAGTCATTATCCGTCAGGTAGTAAACTCGGTGACAGCCAGCCCGGCCTTCGATAGCTTGACCATTCGCCATCAATCATTTCATTTTTTTTCCACGCGAACATGTGAGCTGTATGGGGATGCGCATAAACTGGAAGCCCCTTAAGCGCAAAAAAAGGCATATGCCTGAGGAGTTCATGTTCGGGGTCACAATCATTACACACATCTGCTCTGACCAGGATGACCGTTTGGTCGGGTGCAAACTGTGCATCAATAAAGACAAAGATAAGAGGGTCATCTGACTCGCACCAGATGAGGTAGGCGTTGATGATCTCCCAGATATCTTTGACTTTCCCATCAGTCATGCCTGCTTCCCCGTTCTTCTAAGGCAAATCCTGATAATCATTGACCCATTCATCATAACGAAGGGCATCGAATTCATCGGGCTCCACCCTGATCTCCTGGAGTCTCTGGGTCTGTTCCTTGGTTAGGCGATTTGTGAGGAAGATCCGACACCGCGCCTCATGGGTCATTGTATGCCATTTATTTGGTTACGGCTCCTATCCGTCAATATCGCTCTTCTTTATGAAACACGTTGATCTTGCATAATGCCAACATGAAACAACTCAAATCACACATAAGACATAGCTCTTCTTCTGCTTTGCCATCTCAACAAAATCAAACCTATATCCCATCTTCCAAGATCAGGCCAATTCATCCCCACGACCTCGATATCAGTATCTTGGTGGCACTGCCAGAGCATAAAATCACTCAAACGGCAGACCCCCGACGTACGTATCAAAATGTCCAGGGGTGGAAAGTCCACAAACATGTTTTCTGTCAGAGACTTTACCGTAATCTTATCAGGGAAATCAAATTCAGAAACACTCTCCCTGATAGCAGAGGCAATCTCATCCCTGCCAGTATAAGCGACACAGATATTCAAAACCTTGCCCTGGTTGTTCTTCGTAGCATCCATAGCCTTGGCAATAGCCCTTAGAGCGCTTTCTTCTAGCAATTCCAAACGGCCCAATACCCGGATTTTAATACCGTGTTTCTTCACCAATGGATCATTCTCGCCAATCTCTCCAAGTGTCCCATCTAGCAGCTTCATGAGAATATCGATCTGCTCTTTAGGTCTGTGGAAGTTCTCAAGGCTAAAGGCGTAGAGGGATATAGCATTGATTCCGCAGTCGAAGCATAGATCCAATATCTGTTTTCTCGGTTATCTCAATGGTTGATAATATAAAGTCGGAATATTGGCATGATAGTTTACCTTCATAAGAGTTTTTGCACCAGCCAAGTAACCTGCTGCGATGGAAATAGAGTTCTCTTTTGCGTATCGTCGGTTTCCATCCATTTTGAACGCTACATGACGTGGGATGGGACCTTGGGATAACGTCGCCAATGCAAATTGATTGACGTATATGAAAGTATTTTCCAAAGCTTTATAGATGGTATGGAAGAGGTGCATTGTATCAAGTGGGAGATGTAAGGAAAATCGAAAAGTAGATCTCAGCCTGTGGAGCTTATACAGAGCTCGAGCTTCTATTCTCGAAAGATCCGCAAACACGTTTCACAAGCTACTCGCATGTATGATTTAAGACCGTCGGATTTATTCCAAATACTTGATATTGTCCAATCGTAGAGAGTTCTAATACACAATCATATCTACATTAAGGTCGCTAGCACATGTACATGTACCAACATCAAGGGCATGTAATATCAGTGATTTGGCTCATTGATGTCTCAATTATCTCAATTGCACTTACCGGGTGCTATATAGGTGCCATAAGCACTTCATACTCTTAATCCCACTAGTCTTTGAGGCAGAAATAGCTTTATTACATAACTAGTATCATGTCTCGAGGTCAAGCTTGGAACCTCTGGGGTTACCTACATATCTACATATTTATGTAGGAAGACACAAAAAAGAAGCAAAAGCAACATTGAAATCGATGACCTCCAAGGCTAGAAAGACGACTAATCACTACTCATTATGTCTCTTGATAAGTGCCACTGGTGCTACCCTATGCTACCCTCAGGTATGGCTCTGTGGGTTGGCTTTGCGTATGCGGTGTTGTATCGAGAAATAGCGTACTACATAAACCGGCTGTTGCACCGGCCGTGAGTTCGAAATGCATCCAAGGTGTTCATCAAAAACTCCAGGTTCTGATGGGATTGGTTGCTGGTTATAAGTACCCTCCTGAGGCTTGTGCGAGCGGCAGCATTTCGGTCTAAATCTCGCCTGAGACACGTTATGTTCATTATTCATTATGCTTTAATATTTGGTGTTCTTCTTGAATCATATGGGTTATTTCTTGTAGTGGTTGCTGAGCATATTGGCTCATGAGAAGAATGATTGTAAATTCGGCGTGATTTGTTTAGCGAATTAGCTACATGATATCAATGCAAAATCAACTTCCCGTATGGATTTGTGGCGAAAGAAGACATTTGCCTTAACCATAGAGCGTTCGCCGATTCTAGCCCCCTCTCACAGCCGAAGTCACTTTAGATTTTATTGCATAATATTCAACCATATAGGATCCACCTTAGACTCCGCGCAATTAGATGTAACGTCAGTACGAGTCTTTGACTTGAAGACAAGATGTTTCCCACACAAAGCTAAGACAACTCTAATGGCTGCACATTTGCTGATCAGCACCTGCTTCCAGTCGAGACTTCCTCAAAAACTCGTTCAACTTGAATCGTCCATTGCAGGGTTCGCATCGGGAATTCAGTGGCTAGTCGAAGTTCCACAAAAGCATCACACCCAAGGTTGTATCCGTCGACCCTTCTCTCGTATCTCTTCATGCTCAGCACTAGCTAAACTACTTGGTGCAAGAAGGCCTCGTCCCGCTATCTGGCAGGGGGTCGAAGACTTTTGAGTTGGCATAGATTCGTTCTTGTCGTATATTAGATAAAGGGGACAGAACTGCTGGCTGGCAGGCCCTATCTTGCCCCTGCATATTTGAAGCCGTCACGAATCTCAAACATGATCACAGTGTGAAGAGACACTATCGCACCGGCGCGGAACCTCCGCTTTGATTGATCCTTCACTTTGAATAGCCAGAGGTCGTTTCCATCTGGCTTGAGATTGCTCTGTTGAACGACATTGGATATGACCGGGGAGAATTGAAAGTAAGGGGGAGTGGGTGGGACTTGATTTGGCCGATGACGAGAAGAAAAATTCGAGGGAGGGTTCAATGGCGTGCATCGAGGAGGTCGGAATGGTATTCGATTTGGTTGACAGAGCAAGACGTGCGTTTGTTGTGGCGTATCTCCCGACCACCAAGATATCCCTGGAAGTATAGGAAAAGGGATGCCTGGTCTTATCCTGAAATATGCCCTAAATGAATCTCCATTTCGATTCGTTTACCGCGACCCTCTTATAAGGGGCTATCAAAGCTGCCCAATATCCGAGCATCTGCCTAGTCCGGTCCACTGGAATCGATACTTGTAGAGTTAGCAGAGTTTTTTTGAATCTCTGGTAGGTACTTCTTACAAGGAAATCGGGTATTCCCCCCACCCATGGACGGAGCCTGTGCTTTGCGACTTTAAACCTGGCCGAGCACCTCCCTTTTGAGGGCCAGCATATATGAGGCACGATCCAAGATTTCAGGATTCCCAGGTGCCAAAAGATGGCCCGAGTGAGAGGGTATGAGTGGTAGAAAGATGAGAGAAGTATGAAGAGAGAAGAAGAAGAGATTTTGCGGACGGGATTTCAATAACTAAGCCGTGGCTTCCTAGTTAGGTAGGTACGCGTGGAGAGGAAAGAGCGATTATACACAACACGTATCAAGGTGAGGGATTATAGTAGACACTTTGTGTCATATAGCTTATAAATATAGTATATACCCAGGGAAACGACATTCAATGGAGACTTTTATAGAGAGAAAAAGCTTGTTGGAGTCACGACAAAGGCAGAGAAGAGAGATTTTGACTGGCTACATGATCCTGACCTCATTGTGGGCCTAAGGCCACCAATATAAGCCGGGAGCTTCTATGAATTAAGAACGTTTGGTGCTAAGGGTTGTATTGTTGGGATCTAGGAGAGACTATCTTCATTTGGTGGGGTTGATTGAATTGCACATGAATGAATTCTTCTACACAATTAATCTATTCTGTTCCATTTCCTTTCCTGGTGCTTTGTAATCCCAGTTGGTCTTGGTGATAGTGAACCTATGCTCAAAGTTTGTCCCTGAAACATCGTATTTGATCAACCGAGCAAGTCCACTGCGCTGTTTCGGACAATTTTAGGTCCTAGAACTGCGGCTAACTCAGCGACGATTCCCTTGATAGACATTGGCGAAGTCATTGACATGGTTTCCCATTTAACCAGATCCTAATTGAGTTTAGTAAAGACGTCCATCTGACTCAGGGGGCTCAGATAAAAGATAAATGCGTACCTTCATGTGTACAAAGTTGCCATTGAAGAACAGCAGCCAATGATCCAGGTCCAGTGCTTCCACTTCGGGGACAGTAAGAACACCGGGCATACCGATATCAAAGAGGGAAACCTCTTCTAGATCGGCATCATTTTTCGGGACTTGAGGCGCAGGGGAAGATGATCGGTCCCGAGACAAAGAGACATAGAAACGGGAATTAAGCTTCTCTGTCATTTCGCCATCAAGTGGGTCCCATTCGCAGGATTCAGGGTCTGAGTAACAGAGAAAAGGGTCAGATGTTGTGCACAATTTTCATGTGGTACAAAGAGTACTAAGACACGAGTGGGACATACCAAGAATGTACTGGGGGCGGAAATTGGCCTTGTAACGCATCTTCTGGCAGGTGTGGATGTAGTACCCTATATTTCGAGCGTTAGAAATGCATCAAACAGGGACTAGTTCCACAATTGCAACCTACCCATGTAGTAGTACATATACTGATTCTCGACCGAGAAGGCAATTTCGCGCATGGCGCTCAGCTTGCCAATTTCCCATTGCTCGTAGGCGGGATCATAACTGCATGGTACTGTCAGCTTATCACATACTTCGGTGTTTCGGGGGTGTAGTCAGCCATCAGCTTACAAGACGTAGACGGAGCTGACACCATTGGGGACTAGGTCCAATACTGCAACAGCAATGAGCTCGCCATCAAGACGATAGCACTGATGCCATGAACCGAGTTTCTTCTCAGAAGTATTGTTGGCCGTTAGGGGATTCGGGGTTCGCTTGATGCCTGCGCATAAGAAGCGTTGAAAGTCCTTGGGTTTCCAGTGAGAGACATCCTCTTTGTGGATGGCCGTTTGGTACTTGAGGAACAGCTCGAACTTTGCCTGCGACACAGAGTCACCTTCAATGGTGATTTCGAAGCGGTGCGCTGGTTCAATGGGAAGCTTGGTAGCAGGGTCGATTGGCCGTTTGACGTGGTCGTACTCGCTCTGGTGGACAGCTGACAGAAGGTCGAAGTTGCACTTGCGATGCTTTTTCTCTCTGTGCGTTGGTTAGCCAAAATCTGATATCAAATTTACTAAATATAGAGTTGCATACTCGCGGGTTTGCGGACAAAGCCGGGCTGCCTTTCGCATATACTCGGGACCTAGGATGAATTTGTTCCACTTGTTAATGGCCTTACGTTGATCGCGGCGGGGCCGATAAGCGGATGCCTCTAGTCTCAAAGTATAGTGAGGACAACAAGACCGAAGTAGGTTTTGTTTGTAGTAGAGATTTCCCGATCTAAAGATGTCAGTCTGGTGGGTTACAGGGAAATTAAACCGGGGAATCATACCGCCGCCAGCCGCCATTGATCAGCTCTTCATAATGTTCCGGGAGTACGGACGTGGAATTGGTGTAGTACGATTCACCTTTTACGTGTCAGCATCCCATAACCTTTTCTAGCCCTGAAAGAACAAAAAAAGAAACAAGGGACAACAAACTTCCATCTTTGGACTTGCAGTAACCACACGAGTTCTTTTGGTAACCTGACAGGATCACATCACATTAGTCTCTGCATAAGAGGGGTTGGACGAAAGAGCTGCATTGGCGTTGATATCCCCGCCGAATTCCCCTAAGTGGTAGCGCTCTGGGCCAGTGGAAGCGCCACGGGGTAACAGAGGTTTATCTCAGTGGTTCCCTGCAGGAGAGTGGGACATATGAGACCTACCTAGTGGACGGAATAGCGACAACTCTCGCGCGCGTTCGGCGTCAACCCGTTGCATCTTTCAGAGATGTGTTGGCGTGCAAGTTGTATAAGGGGGGAGGAGATTAAAAGTGGTAAGTCGGGAAAGTCGGGGGTTTGTAAATACGGTCTATACGGTAAGGGGGATATATCTACGTTTATGTGGACTGATGCATTTTTAGGTCTATAGCTTTTTTAGCCGTATATGTATCTCATCTCTCAAGCCACATAGCCGATCTTATAGTTTCTGGTCAAATCATCCGAGTTTCCCCCATCTCGGTACCAGCAAATCCCGTAGGTTTGAAGAGGCTCATTACCCGCACATTTCGGGTTTGAATTTGTAGTAACTCATAGTAGACTATATGGAATTATAGCAGATTATAGCAGATTATGGCAGATTATAGCAGATTATAGCAGATTATAGCAAATATAGTAAAATCGAGCATAAACATCTCAAATAGTTCTTTGATCTGGAGAGTCACATGACCATATATAAAGTGAACAGGAGAAAAGTCCAAGGTCATTGAACTCATTACTACTCCGTACTCTTTCTATGACTATGACTCTAGTGTATGTAACAAAGACTGTAAATATTCAAAAAGAAAATTAAAAAAAAGGAGGAAAAAAAAAAGCAACGTACCTTGACTCTTTTCCCGGACTGCGCCGCCGGTGCCCCTCCATTCCCACTTCTCTCCATTTCTCCATTCCTCAATAACCTCCCATTTCTCAGATCTTCTTTTCAAAACCATGCCTATTTCCACTTACCATTTCAATCCCCCGTCAGGCATGAACGGGAAGACCTGATCTCCATTGAACTCCGCAACATCCAAAGGGAAAAAAAAAATTCCCCCCGACCGCCCTCGCGCTGTACTCCCGCTACTCTACACCACCCCCCAGACACCTGGAGCTTCCACTCTCACCTCAGAGACCTGACAGGCTCCGAGGGAGCTTGCGAGAGCATCATTTATCGGATTTTCCTTGATCTTTTTGACATCCTTGGTCTTTCCACTCTTTTTCTCTCTTTCTTCATTTCCCCGGGGACTTTCCTTTCTCCCCACTCAAATCTCGGAGTAAATCCAAGGAGATTCGATTGTCTATCACAATGGCTCAAATACGGTCTATGGAAGCCCGCGTTGGGCGGAAAAACCAACGTGAGTTATCGCTGATGTCGCTTTGCGGCTGCGCACGTGGGGGGAACCCGTCCCCCTTACGTCTACAATGTCCCTGTGTCCCCTGACTCTAACGGCTTGTCATAGGGTACGGTTCGAAAGGCGAGCGACTGGTAGCCGGCGTTGTCCCTATTTCCGCCGACAAGACCAAAGTCCTCATGATTCAGTCCGCAGGACCCGGAGGTTGGGTGCTCCCCAAGGGTGGATGGGAGCTCGATGAAAAAACCGCAGAGCAGGCTGCATGCCGCGAGGCCTGGGAGGAAGCCGGTGCTATCTGCGTTGTCATCAGAGATCTGGGACTCATCCCGGACATGAGACCCTCCGGCCTTCTTACGGCGCAAGCGCCCAAAGCCTCATATCAGTTCTTTGAAGTCTCCGTTGAGCGAGAGGAAACCGAGTGGCCCGAGATGCACAAGCGGAAACGGCAATGGGTCTCTTATGCTCAAGCTGCCACTGCCCTCGCGAATCGACCCGAGTTGCTTGAAGCGTTGAATCGCAGCTCGTTGAAGCGGTAGCCCCTATCGCGTGCACATTCAGTTCTCTTGCACATCGACCTCTCTCCCCTCCTCACTCTTCTATCTCTATGTGCATCCCTTTCCTGAGAGAGCTACTCCCTGATAATGACTCGACATGACCAACTCCAAAAAACGGTGGCTTCGTCGCTTCTACTATTGGCTTTGTCTACCTTTTTTTGCATCTTTTTAACGGGCTGCCGCTACCCGTCCTCTGTTTCATTTGCGAATGAACCATCTGAGTCTGCGTGTTTTGCTTTGTCTCGCTCTGATAGACGCCTTTTGCAAACAGGCTTGAGGGCTTTGAGACGTTATTGCATTGGCACTGGAGGATCCCTTATTTTATCAACTGTGGCATCGGATTATTTTATCTGAATCCATTGCTTGCAATTTTTCACTTGCCAGATTTGAGTCGAGTGCACTTCCCTTAGTTCTAGATGTCAGTCTTTTGCGTGGCTTTTTGGATGCTGGATCTAGTGTCTATACCCAGCAACTGAATCAAATCTGAACCACTTCCTCCACTCTCTAAATTGAGAAAGAGAAGAAGGGAATGAACAGAAGAAATTATCTCATCATGAATGTAAATGTAAATGTAAAAAAAAAAACGAACGACTTGATATTGGCACTTTTCAGAGGGTGTGACCCGATTAGGCAAAGCGCAAAAAGCTGTCTCCGAGGGAGCAAATCCGCGTGCCCTCAAGCCAACAACTTCGCGCTCGAATCATCTGCCACAACAGTTCTCATTACCCTCTCATTTACCATTGTCTGCCGTACTCTTCAGTCTATCCTCTTACTTTTATGACCCGCGGATAAACACCTCCAGCTCCAGACAAGGGTGGCGGCGAGCAGCGCTGCCGCATACATACCAACATGGATTACGAAATGGATCTCGAGCCCACAGGGCCCCAAGTGACAGTCCGCGAAGTAAGCCGAGAGACATTCACAGAGCACCAGGATAAAAGACTCACAAATCCTACAGGCGGAGCCCTACCGCGTCGACTTCAGACTGACCGCAGTCGACCTCGCATTCGCCAACTCCCTCCGACGAACCATCCTCGCCGAAGTGCCCACTTTGGCACTCGACCTGATTGAAATTGAAAGCAACACCTCAGTCCTTCCCGATGAGTTCCTCGCCCACCGCCTCGGCATGATCCCCTTGAACTCCTACAACTGCGACCAAGACCTCGACTACACTCGAGACTGCGACTGCGAAGACCACTGTGTGCGCTGCAGCGTGACGCTGTCTCTGCATGCGCGCTGCGGTAGTGGTATCATGTCCGTCTACGCGCGGGATCTGATTGTCGTCGGCGAGCGGATCAACGAGAAGATTGGTGATCCCGTTACTACTGACCCGGAGAACAAGGGTCCCTTGATCTGCAAGCTGCGTAAAGGCCAGGAGATTAAGATGACTTGTCTGGCCAAGAAGGGAACTGCTAAGGAACATGCTAAGTGGGCACCCACTGCCGCTGTCGGCTTTGAATATGACCCCAACAACAACCTGCGCCATGTGGACTACTGGTATGAGCAGGATGCGGCAAAGGAATGGTACGTTTTTTTTTTAGCGTTGATTTGATATCTAGGAGGTTGCTATGATCTATCCGCTAACAATGACTGTTATAGGCCTGTCTCTGAAAATGCTGCCTGGGAACCTGCTGCCAACCCTGACCAGCCCTTTGACTACGATGCTGAGCCTACCTGCTTCTACTTTGACGTCGAGAGCATTGGCAACCTCGAGCCAGATATGATCATCCAGCAGGGTATTGTGTCGCTCCAGCGCAAGCTCGCAACCACCGTCTCTGTCCTCCTAGGTGAAGGCGAGGATGGACACGCCGGAGGCGCTGAAGATGCTGAGATGATGGGTGCCAATGACCCTGATGCTTATGAGCCACCTGAGGGCATTGACGGAAACATGACTGCCTATGGAAACGGTGCGGCCAGTGCTTGGGGCGCTAGTGCACAGACACCATATGGTGCTACGCCTTACGGACAGAGCAGCTATGGGTTCTAAACGTGCTTAACCCAGCAAGAAAAATAGAGCTCGAGCATGCGCAATGGAGTTTTGATTTCCTGGTGAATTGGGGGCGCACTCTGGAGTTTTCCGTTCTTTGTATCTTTTGCTGTTGGGGACGGTCTTCTTATCCTAGAGAATGACTGGTCTCCGTATCTCAAATATCTACTAGTTGGTTCAGTGAACCTGAAAATACTAAATATCATGGACCTTTTGCTAAAACTACCAAATATTTTCTTATAGAAGGGTTACTGTAGCATACCAGTGGAAACAACGTAAACCTCAGCCAATACCCTAGATATTAACCAAGCATGAAACCCCGCATACTCTTGTTTCTTAGCATAGGTCGTCGGGCTATGACTATGCTAGGACCTTTCGGAGCAGTGTGGATTCTAATCTATGTTTCATCTAACGATCCCTATGAATGGTTTATGTAGGTTCATACCATATAATGTGATTGTCAACAAGGATGTCTGAGCTCACTATCCAGACGTCAGATTAAACATTAGTATAGATTATCAGATGCAACTATCAAGAGAGATGAGATATGAATATCAGATATGTTTATTTTGAAATCTTATTAACCATAGTCCTGTGTAAAGCGATGAAAATCAAGCAATAAATCCTGAAACAGTTGAAATTCCCATCAGTTCCCAACGCCTGGCATGCCACAGATGCAATGACTATACACAATACACAACCATGCCTCGCTAAAAAACCAGAATGCAGAACACAAAAGAATATCATCCCTAGAAACACTCTACTCCATCAACTCAAGCGGCGGACGAGAAGTCTTAGGCGGCATGTGGTTAACCGACATCTCAATCGGGCTCATCTCAGAATCCATATCCACATCTTCAACATCCATCGTCATATCCTCAACCATGACCGCTGGCAGATTGGGACTATTGCCATGGTCCTCGGGGTTGTAGATGATAGTACTGCTCCTGCTACGCTGCTGGGAGCCCGCAAGCGGCCAGCTGGACGTGCGCTTATCAGAAGAGATAGAGACCGGGGTCGCGGGGTCGGCTGCAGAAGTCTCAGGCTGCGTCTGGTCCGTATTCAGCTGGGACAGCGCGTGAGCCAGATCCGTAGCGTGGACTTCCTTGTTGGGCGGGTCCTCGTTGCGCACGACCCATCCGTGCGGCGGGCTGGGCGGCGGTGAGATAAAGAACATCTTGGAGACTTGCGGGGCTTCGAGGAGCTTTGGTCGGCCGCCGTCTAGGATTGCAGTCGGCTCGCCGAAGTAGATCCGGGGGTGGACGTCGCGGTTTAGCAGGCGCTTGCCGTCCAGGAGTTTGCGTACGGCGGTGGCGTCGGACTCGTTGTGGAAGGAGCACACGATGCGACGCATTGAGGGGAGTGGAGAGAAGGAGTTTAGAGGTGCCACGGCGGTGATTTGGTTGCGGATTTCTTCCAGTGCTGGGGGTTGGAAGACGAGTAGATCGTGGAGATTGGTGATTAGGAGGGTGTTGGAGGGTGGTGTTGGTTGGGAGAGTGAGGGCATGTTGGCGATATCGAGGGATAGGGATGGTCGTGAGGAGGAGGGGGGTGAGCTAGTGAATTCGGGCACTGAAGCCAGCGATCTTGGTGAAACTGAAGTAGCCATTTTATGTGTTGTATGGTTTGAGTTGGGTATGTTTGGAGGAGAGGTTGGATAAGAGGAAGATAAAGGAGGTTGCCACCGGATAAGAACTGTTTGAGAGAAAGGTTCTAGAATTTCCAATAGACTGTTAGAGGCGAAAGTGATTTAGAATGGTTTGGAAAAGATGATAAAAGTGTCTGGATTTGCCTCTCTTTAATAAAGAACGCAGAGTAAAGACTCAATTTAAGGTGAGGCGCAGCAATGTATGTATCGTCACCTCCCCCTACACTGCCTCTTACATTCCACGCCTCCACGTTCCTGTCGATCCACCTGCTCCCAGCTTAAGCCTAACTCTTTCAGATCAAAGGGCTGTGTGATCTACTATATTTTACCCTGTTTTGCTTTATTTACTGGAATTTACTAGAATAGACTATTAACGTTCTCAGCACTGTGCATGCGCCACACACGCCACATCAATATTGCATTCAGTTTGACTTGCATCAGCCACACCCCGTGACTCAATAGAAACTCCGCCCCTTTTCTGCCGGAACATTCGACTCAATCGACGGGAGGACAGGAGTCCGGTGTATACAGCGTTGTACGGAGAACTCCTGTAGGCTATTCCGATGTCCCTCATCTTCCATCTTGCCTAAGCCCCCATTGGCTTGCTATTATTCTGCCTACGGAGTACACTTTTAGGACCTCCACTATCATGCATTGCCACCCGCAGTTTCTTCCCCAAGCCTTGCATAACGAAGCTGACGCTTTACAATAATGGTAAGCTTAGCTCTAGACGCGTAGATGCGTCTGCTTTAGCTGCAAGGCTACTCAATTGATTATTTATGGAGCCTGTGTCCTATGCCCAAGACATGGTGAAAGCAAAGCAGGCTATGGCACTGGCACAGCTCTTTGTGGCACCGGTCCACAAGCCTCGGTCGGAAATTCAGATCACTTGTCCTAGCAGTTGTACAGGACACCAGACCCTAGCCTTGCTTTTGCTTTGGGCCAAGTGTCGCAAAATTCACTCGTATCTGTGGATTCCAACAAACGGATGTCTTGAGGATGTCTTACAATTGAAAAAGTGCCAAGAAAAAATGACTACATAGCATAAAAATCCCTCAATGAGCTTAAACTACACATGTATTTGTTAAATGAACACGAGGCAATCAATGAATCTATTCTATAGCTTACTTCCCTGGAGCTGGGTCTCTCCGCCTATCTTTTCCGGCTTAGCAAGGCGTACCAGTCTCTGCGCCCCTTCCAGTTGTTCAACAACAGCATTGAACGCAGTTTCAACATCGTGTTCCGAAAGCCACACTGTATCTGGCCTGCCAGTCATTCGGGCAACAAGTGCCGCATCTTCTTCTTCACGTGTCGCAAAAATAGTACCTTTCTTGTCGATCTGGCTATGCACAATACGCAACAACCGAGCTGTATGCGGTTGCCTGGTTTGACTGTATAGCCCCAATGCCTCGTTGATATTTCTAGCTGAGAACGTGGCCTTTCTAGAATAGAACACTTCTTTGAATGCAAGGCCAATAGTGAGGGAGTCGTCTAGTGCCAGCGAGCCTCCGGCTGCGAAGGCACCGCCATGGGCGTGGGCTGCGTCTCCAACTAGAGTCACTCGTGATCCAAAGACCCAGTTTGTGAGAGCATCGCCAGCAAAATTGGGATAGAGATTTGTGGATGGTGTGAGCTCTGTCAGAGCTTTGACCGTGGGGTTCCAGTCCTAAGAGCTGTGAGTCAGGTGAGCTCGGACGGGTCAATTGAGAACGTACCTTGTATCTCTGTCTTAGAAACTCCACATTGCCAAGCTGATCCCAGGCAATGCTTTTCTCCACCTCCTCTGCTGAGCGTGGGTCATCGTAAGCACCAACAGTGGTGTACTGGTCATTGCCTAGAGTTTGTCAGATCTCTGCAGTCAATGCTAATCCATTTCACCTACCAAGCCGAGACGCAAAGAAGTTATCTTTAGGACCCCACTGTCGGTATTGTTAGCAATGACTATAACACTCTCCAGCACAGTTATAACATACCCAGTGCATCGAATCAGCAGGTAAGTCAGGGATCTTGCCCTCTACCAGCGAGGCATCAAATGTCGCCCTCATGAATACCTTCCCACTGAACCGTAGCTTATAACCCGGAATGAACGATTGTCTGACACTCTAAACTTGAGTTAGCAAAACGCAATGCTAGCCAAGCTTCTATCACAAACCGATCGAATCCCATCTGCCCCAATCAGGATGTCTCCGTGGGCACTACTCCCGTCCTCGAAATACAACGAAACACCAGCCTGGTCAGCTTCCGCGTGCGCAATCTTCTTGCCCAAATGGATTGACTCTCTGGGGACATGTTCGAGCAGAGCAGAGTGCACATGACCCCGGTGGAAGCGGGTAGTATGATGACGGGGATCAGGGACGTTGGCGTGATTGTCTATGGACACGACTTGGTCCGTTCTCCAGTGACTATTTGTCTATCTGTCAGTGTGCTGAACAGTACAACTCGAATATATGTGATGATCTTATACCGGAATATCTGTGGAATTCCACTTGGGCCTCTAAACCCGACTTCGTCTGTTAGGGCTTTGTGTACGCCGAGTTTCTCCAGTGTGCGCATGCCCTGGTATTTGATATTCATGATTAGATAATCTAATCATTTCAAAATAATATGCGAGATACCTACATTTGGACTGAGCGCGATGCTAGCTCCTATTTCCAAAAGCTCTGAAGCCTGTTCAAATAGTTGGATATCCAAATTTGGAAGAGCCGATATACGTGTTAACGATATAGCCGTTGCAAGACCTGCGATGCCTGCACCGGCGATCAAGACGCGAATAGGTTCACTTTTTTCTGTCATCTCGATAAGGTTGGATATCTGTCGACTCAGCACGGATCAGTTGCGACAAAAGGCTACTTCTGGCAACAACTAATTTCTTATAGTTCAGATGGCGATCATAAGCGTTTTAGTCACACCAACAATGACTGACGCAACCCCGCAATGACGACTTTAGGCGTGATTTGGAGTCAGATTCGCGTTGATATAAGTAAAGATTGCGTTTAGATAAACATAGGCTTCTGCCAAGTGAGATACTATTGTAAGACCTTCCATATTAGGAGAAGACTATTGTAGACCCCGCAGTCATCTTCCTTATCTGCATGAGAATCTCTCAGTAGTGTGAAGACGACGGAGCTCAGAAACATTGCGCAATTTTATCTGTAAGCTAGTGGGCATCATAAGTACCTGTGCAGGACTGCGATTAGCTATGTACAGTTAATCGAGTCGCGTTGTTTATACTCTGCATTCCTTACATCTCACACGATGGCAGTAGAAAACTATAAGTCCGGCTTCGAGACAGAAACGCGAGCCACTGAGGAAAGCGACAATGAGCTTAACACCGCGCCAAAGCTCCCTGATCAATTCGCCGATGAGAGTTTTAAGCTATTCTCGAAAATCCAAGCCACAGACCCGACCCCCGAAGAAGCAATACAGATTCGCAACAAATGCTTATGGCGAATTTTACCCTTTCTTTGCATTGGATATCACTTGATGTATGTCGATAAGCAAACGGTATGTTGATTCAATTCCCGAATATGAGAGTCTAGTATTAACATGCCAGCAGCTTGGAAGTTCTGCAATCCTAGGGATTATGGAAGATGCGCATCTGAACGCGAATCAATATAACTGGCTCTCTTCAATCTTCTATTTCGGGTACCTTTTGGCCGAATGGCCACAGAATTGGGCTTTGCAGCGGTTTCCTGTTGGGAAGTGGCTGGCTGGCAATTTGATAGTATGGTAAGTTCTTCACTTGTCCTCAAATGATGGTAAATTAGTTACTGACTAGCTTCAAAGGGGCGGAATTACCCTCTTACATATACCTTGCAACAGCTTTGCGTCTCTTTTTGTTGTTCGATTTTTCCTTGGTGTAGCAGAAGCATCCATCGTTCCAGCATTCCTGCTTTCCATGTCTATGTTCTTTACTTATGGCGAGCAGGCCGTCATGATGCCAGTTATGTGGTCGATTGGTAATTCAAGTCCTATCACGTCGGGTTTGCTGTCTTATGGTGTCCTTTGGATAGAGACAGGCAGCTTTACTCCATGGAAGTGGTTCATGGGTATGTTTTCTTCCCAAGTAAACTGTTCAGGTTGTTAACTTCTATTCTAGTTATAACTGGTGTCCTCACGGTCATTTTCGGTGTCTTTGTCTATCTCTTCTTTCCCGATAGCCCTATCCATGCCAAGTTCCTGACACAAGAAGAGCGTGCAAAGGCTATTTTGCGGATAAAAGAAAACCATTCTGGAATTGAGCAAAAGCTTTTCAAAAGATATCAGTCAGACCCCATATCTAAAGAGAATCCAAGATGCACTAACTGACTAGAGTCTTAGGTTTATTGAGGCAATTCAAGACCCCAAAACATGGCTCTTCTTCCTACACGCCTGGTCCCAGGAGATGGCAAACGGAATCACAAATCAATACTCCCTGATCATCAACTCATTTGGTTTCACCGTTCTTCAAACAACACTATTAGGAACCGTGACGGGAGTGGTATCATTCTTTTCTCTTATAGCAGCTGCGATTATATTGTATCACACTAAGGTAAGCCAATTCCGCACATTCAATGTGGACGTAAACTGAAACATCCAGAACTGCCGAGCATGGGTATCACTCATTGCATACATTCCAGGTGCTCTTTCAAGTATCCTTCTACTAGGTCAGTAGTATTCTTCTTTTCGAAATGGATTACCACTACTAATTGACCCGACAGCCTTGCCCTGGTCCAATCGATGGGGTCTCATCGCTGGAATCTGGATTCGACCTACAACCGGTATCCCGTATGCCGTTGTGATGATCTGGGCTGCCAATGCGTCAGCGGGCCATACGAAGAAAACTACCGTCATTGCACTATATCATATTGGATACGGACTGGGAAATATTATCTCTCCGCAATTGTTCCGGCCGCAGTGGAAGGTGAGTTCTTCATTTGACCTGACTTCCATTATCATACTAACAATGACTCAAGCCTCGGTACAGACCAACTTGGATTATTTTGCTTGTAGTAAGTCATATTTTAGTAAAGCTACGTGCGGAATATTTGACTTACAGTTCTTAAGGTCGCTGCAATTCTTCCTTCGATCATTATCATTGCCCTTCGGATCTACCTCAGCCGAGAGAACAAACGTCGCGACAAGCTCGCAGAAACTGATCAAGTCGCTAGCAATGGGATAGTCGAGATTGTCGATTCGTATGGGGGTAAAGTCGCTCGAATCGTGGATAATAGTCAATTGGATTTGACTGACAGGGAGAATCTGACTTTGTAAGTTTTCATCGACTGGTTGGTTCTGGAAATGATCCTAATTTGAAAACAGCCGATATGTACTCTGAACTCTGATACTCTGAGGAGTTGGATACTCTCTGAATATATTCAACCTGGGGTTTGGGGGGGTTAGGAATTTGGAATTTCAATAAATAACTGCTCTTTATACCGGAATGTTACTTGTTTATATCTTTCCTATCTAAATAATCACCATGTGCTAGTTATATATAGTACCAGGTACAGGTCATTATCTTCGAATAGAGTATTCAAAATTTAATATTGATTTCAAAGCCCAGAGCACAATAAGCTTTTCTATCTGTGAGTTGTACGATCACATTCCTATGGCGTCAACCACCTAACTGCAAGGATCCGATACACAACAGTCAGCCTGAATGACGTGCCAGCCAATCTAATGATTTCCAAGCACCAGACACCTTATCTCCTCGATTCTCCTTGGATTGAATTCATTTAAATGTTAGAAGATTTCCACCGTGGCTGTGAATAAATAGTGGTTCAAACTATACAGCCATTTATAATAGCTTCACGATGGACATCCAAGAAAGACAGCCTCTCTTAAGCTCAATTCCATCGAATATTCTATCTCACAGCTCTCAACAAGAAGCACTCAACCTCTCATCCGATGAGTTCCGCACACCATACCCCGACACCCTACCAGGGACGCCCTACAGAAAGAGCATCAACTGGTCAAGCGCGTATATATTAGTCGTCTCGCGCGTGATTGGGAGCGGTATCTTTGCAACACCAGGCTCAATCGTCAAATCCGCCGGAAGTATCGGATTGACGCTACTAGTATGGCTGGTTGGGACGATATTATCAGCTTGCAGCCTAGCCGTCTCGATGGAATTCGGATGCATGCTACCTCGTTCAGGGGGAGAAAAGGTAAAAGACATTGTTGCAAGACTGCAGAGACAAGTCAGCTAAATTCATTTGCTTTTTGCGCAGGTGTACCTCGAGTATGCCTATCCCCGACCGCGGTTTCTCGCATCAAGCCTAATAACAGCCCAAGTAGTGCTCCTGGGGTTCACGGCGAGCAACTGCATTATCTTTTCAAAATACACATTCTTCGCGCTTAGTATTGAACCCACTGAGCTTCAGCATAAGATGCTCGCTGTTGGCCTCTTGACGGCCATTACTATTGTCCATGGCTGTTTCCTGAAGACTGGCATCTTTGTCCAGAATGTTCTTGGCTGGGTGAAGATCTTCCTCATTGGCGCGATGTCCTTGACGGGAATCTGGGTTGTTTTCCTCCAGTTCCATGGAGATACTGATAATATATCTCCAGTGTCAACAGTCGGCAGTTCATTCTCTTGGGATTCGATATGGGAAGGATCGAACTGGAGCTGGAGTCCGCTTTCGTCGGCTTTGTTCAAAGTCTACTATTCATATGCTGGATTGAGCAATGTGAACAATGTCCTCAGTGAGGTTCATGATCCCGTGGGAATAATAAAAACCGTTTGTCCCACTGCACTAATCACCGCCGGGGGCCTATACTTTCTTGCGAATCTTTCATACTTCCTGGTCATTCCGCTCGAAGAGATCAAAAATAACGGGGAATTAGTGGGCGCACTGTTGTTCCAAAGATTATTTGGGGATCACGTTGGAAAGATATTCTTCCCACTTGCTATTGCCATTTCAGCTGCCGGAAATGTGATGGTCGTGACCTTTGCCCTGGTACGCTTTTGGTATATATGGAATTGAAAGCTAATAAATACTAACATTGGTAGGCACGTGTGAATCAAGAGATAGCCCGACAAGGCTTTCTTCCATGGCAAAATGTTCTCTCGTCCTCGCGGCCATTTGGCACTCCACTGGGTGGACTTATTGTACATTATATCCCTTCTTTGTTGGTCCTTGCCCTACCGCCACAGGGGGACGTCTATAACTTTATTCTGGACTTGGAGGGATACCCTGGACAGATGTTTTCCTTGGCAATCACACTCGGTCTGCTGGTAGTACGATACCGGGAGCCTCATATTCCACGACCGTTCAAAGCGTGGTTGCCGGCTGTCTGGTTACGGGTGGTGGTGTGTTTAATCCTACTAGTAGCACCCTTCATCCCGCCGCCGAATTGGAAAGGAGATGTCGATTTCTTCTATGCTACCTATGCACTTGTTGGGATTGGAATGTGGGTGATAGTCTTTTTATATGAGAGTTACCTCGCTGACAAACACAGTGTACTCTTGGGGGTTCTCTACTGGTATGTCTGGACAGTGTTACTCCCACGATGGGGAGGCTACCAACTTGAGGAAGAGAAAGAAATTCTGGCCGATGGGACTAGCATCATCAAGCTTGTTCATTTATATGATAGTTGACAGCGTTGACGATGCATATTATGATCACTTCATGAGATTGATTATTGACTTCTTCACATCTGAGGAGACAATGTTGGTTCATATAATGCCGAGTCTGTCTATAAGGAAGAAACTTTTCGGTCCTTAAGAACAGTAGGCGGATAAATTCCACCGTCCTCTTGTAATGCAGATAGAAAATGGGTGAGGTCTGAGCCTACAGAGCAATCACGACAGACAAACAGTCCTCTTCCTTCCTCTCTTCTCTCTCCTTCCTCTTCCTCTCTAATTCTCTCATCTCCTTTCTTCTCCCTTCAACTTCTTCCCATAGCGGATACAGCATACGGATCTCCCTCTGTATCTGTATTTGCTAGAATCACAACTGAAATTCTTCAGCAGACTTTCCCAGCTCCTTGGGGCTGTCTTAAAACAAATCATTGCTTCGCCATGGCCTCGATGCCTCAAAATCCTCCCAGGCCGCCTCCCCCATGTCCTTCCTGGGTCTTTTCCAACACTTCCGACACCCAGTGAGTATTTCCCTCGAAGGGCTGGAAGCATCTATCTAACTAAGCCAGTGTTGCCAAAGATCGCTGTTGGTTCGGAAAAGACTACATCCCCTTCAGGTCCTATGTCACAGATATAACCGGAGGTCCCGCCGTAGTCATTGGGATGGGAACTGTCAACCTCGCCACCATGAGCTCGCCAACCCAGACCGATTCGGATTCGCACAGCTCCCTCTGCTTGAAGAACGTGTTGCATGCCCCCGCAATGCTCTGTAACATCATCGGAAGTCCAGTGGAGGACGACTACACGGTCTTTTGGGGCGGACTCTACTCTTCCTCGGATAAATCTGGTGAAATTATGAGCAAAAGCGGTCGAACTGTGGCCTACTTCAAGCCCATGGGTCAGGGCCCCAGCCTGTACCAAGTCCAATTTAGCAGGCCTCCGCTCGGTTATCAGTTCGGGATTTCACCTTTACTCCAGAACGGGCTCTACATGATCCATGCCTTCTGGCCCCAGCCTGAGCGGCAGAGGTTTGCACTCTTGAAAGCCTCCGGTCTGATTCGAGCCTCAGGCGTAGAGCCGCTGACAAGATCTGAGAAGCAATGGTTCGGGAAGAGACGCATGTCTGAGAATGGAATTCTAGTTGAATACGGGTTGAACAAGAACAGGAAGGAGCATCAAGAGGAAGGCCGTGCCATCATGCGAATTTTGAAGTCTCAGGCCGAAAATGAACTGATCATTTGATCCTGGGGAGAGCCCGTGCCTGTTGAGAGGAAGAAATCTCTTTTGAAGGTGGATGGTGATTTCCCAGGGGTAGCTGAGGAAATCGTTAAGATGACCAGTCTCCCATAGCTTCATATGATTTCGAAATACCCCAATTAAGCGACATATCACAATTACCATGCTTCCTTCATACATAGTCCGACGAAAATGTAAAATGGATTGCATGTCAAATCCGCTCCTAGTCCCAAATATTGACTGTAGATTCATTGGGCTCTGTGTCTATGTAGTTACATATTGCAGTGTCTTCGAAGAGGCCACACTTTTGTCTAAATACGGAGCACAATCTTCCCAATTTGTTTACCCTCCCAAACATATTCAACAGCCTCTTCGGCTTGCTCAAATGGAAATATTTTGTCAATGAGGCCATTCAACGGCATTTGAGCTGCTGATAGCGCAACGCAGAAGTCCTCCATATCACGCTTTGATCCTGCATTGATACCTACCTCTGTTTTGTTCGAGTCAGAATTCAGTATCCAATAATCAAGCGCCGGGGTATAAATCTCACCTCAAAATAGTCCTTCGATCGATAATGGTCGGGATCAGCTCTCGCAGGTCGTTAGGGTCCTGTCGTGAAAGATATCCGACCTGGCTGACCACGCCGCCACGTCGAGTACATCTTATGCTCTTAATTAAAGAGCTTGACCCGCCAGTTTCAACAATAATGTCCACACCGACGTCGTTGGTCAACTTGAGAATTTCTTTGTCCCACTCTGGCGTTTGAGAATAGTTTGTCGTCATGATCGGCGGGTTCGAATACTTCATCTTCATTTGTTCGAGCTTCTTGTCACTCGAAGATGTCAAAATCACCCGCAGGCCCGCGGCTCTTACAAGCTTGAGTGCAAAAACACTAACCCCTCCGGTGCCTAATTCAATTGTTAGTGCTGAACCAAGCCTCAACTCCAGGAGCAGATACCTTGAATGAACACAGTCTGCCCAATCCTCATACCCTTCAACGCCGACCAAGCGGTAACACCAGCACAAGGAATCGTAGCAGCTTCAACCCAATCAAGATAACCCGGAAGCTTACACAGAGCATCCGCGTCGAAAATAATATGATCCGCCATAACTCCATCCTCGTCAGCTGCCAGCCACGACCGCTTCACTTCACGCCCGGAAATATTCTCAGTGTCCGTAATGGGCCCGGCCCTATGCCCAACCGCCAATGTCTTCACCTTATCTCCAACGGCGAGAACCTCGCCCGCTGCATCGTTACCCAATATCCCAATTGGAACCGCTGGCCACGGGTTCCCCCCATTCGCAATGTTTGCGTCGCGGTAGTTAAGTGCTACGGCATGGACTTTGATCAAGACTGCGCTCGGTGCAAGTGGCAGCGCGAGCGCTTCCTGTACAAGCTTCAACTTCGGCTTTCCTGGAGCATAATCATCTGTTCGTCTGAAAGCGCGACGGTGGGTAACTTGAGGGCTTGTTCTGGCCACAGCAACTGGCTTGATAAACCAAGACGATTGAGCGATTAAGCGAGAGATACTGGGCTGTTCTGGGGTCATGTTTTAAATCTACATGTAGAGCAAGCACCTAAGGGTTGTCTTCCTAGGGGTCATGGGACCCGCTTGGTAGAAATGATGATATAGATCCGGCTCACTCCTTTTATTGTAATATTATAACGAGGATCACGAGCTTAACGATTTGACTTAGATACGATATACCCCATACATGAATAAGCCAAGCTAGTTCATTAAACGAACAAAAATTCTTCTTGGATAGAAGAAACCTCCTCCTTATGCGTTGAAATTACCTATGGCGCTAATCCGAAAAGAGCAAATAAAGCGCCCCCGTGCCTTGTATGCTCCCTCAAAATGATATGCCTAGGTGATGAATAAATAATGCAGACAGCGTTCAGTCGGCTATGTTAATGTTTTATATTGCCTGGGGGTTGTGCTAGAGCAGCTTATATAAAGGAAGGCTTAGGAAGCCTTGAGCAATAGAACTCAGCCTGAACACATATTAGTGTCGGAATTCCATTATTTGTATGTTCAGGTTTGTAAATGGCCCATTCGGCATTAATTACAAGTCACAGGTCAATAAATTCCTAGTTCATGTGCGACTAAGCTTGCAATAATCCAAGCCCTGCGGTAGTTAGTTAGTAGTTAGTAGTGGTAGTTGCCCATTGGCTAAGCTGATAACGAATGCAATATCAACATATCAGATACCAGATATCAGATCAAAAGGGAGCAGCCCATGATATTGTATGATATTATATGTATCATTTACTCTTCAACAAAGCGTCCTCGGCCTAATAGAACTCAGAAGAACCCCGAAGTCCTCTCGGCCCAGCGTTTTTCCTTACCAAGGCCAAGGCCAAGGCGGTCAGGTGATTGCCGATGAATTTTATCCGAGGACAAATGGTTTCCGCCTCCAGTTCACAGAGCTCCATTCTCAATTCCACATCACACTATTCATAATGTTCCAACGAACCATCCTCCGACAGGCTCAGGCCGCCCGCTCCATCCTCTCCACCTCCTCTCCCTCCACCGCATCGCTGGCGCTGCGACGGACTACACAACAACCACGTATCCCGGCTATCCGGGCATTCGCTCCCCGGTCTACCCGTCTCTACTCGACAGAGACCAAGGAAGCCACCGAAGCCGAAACCGCAGAGAACGCAGAGGCCGAGGACCCCACCAAGAAGGAGCTCGAACAGAAGACCAAGGAAGCCATTGAGTTCAAGGTAAGCTATTTCCCCATACTACCTACGGGTAGCTCCGCAGCTCTTTCGCAGACGAATATTAACCCAAACTTCGTATTAGGACAAATGGCTCCGCTCCGTCGCCGAATCCCGCAACCTCGTTGAGCGCAACAAGCGCGACATGGACGCCGCCCGCAAGTTCGCCATCCAGGGTTTCGCCAAGGACCTCCTCGACAGCATCGACAACTTTGACCGCGCGCTGCTGGCCGTGCCCGCGGAAAAGCTCGCCGTTGCCAAGACGGAAGAGAACAAGGACCTTCACGATCTCGTCGCTGGTCTCAACATGACCCAGGACATCCTCCTGAACACCCTCCAGAAGCACGGTCTCGAGCGCTTCGATCCCGCCGAGAAGGTCGACGGCAAGACCCAGAAGTTCGATGCCAACTTGCACGAGGCTACCTTCATGGCCCCAGCTGCTGGTCTTGAGGACGGCGATGTTATGCACGTCCAGAGCAAGGGCTTCAAGCTCAATGGCCGCGTTCTGCGGGTGAGTGCCATCCACTAAGACTTAAGAATCTAGAGTATTGTGACTGACTATTTTCTTCTCTCTTATAGGCCGCCAAGGTTGGTGTCGTCAAGAACGCTTAAATCGTCGGCAAAAACTTCGATTCTTAATCCTTCGACGACCTCTAATTCCGCATTTTCACTCTTCTTTACTTCTCTCTGTACCATATGTCATACATCATGATCACGATAGGGTTTTATGCTCGGATACGGCTGGCTTTTGGACCCGGGAAAATCACTCTTCCTTGCTATCTTTCTGCTTGTCTCTTGGATTCGGCTGTATGATACACCCCATGTTGCATGTGTCTGGAGGCGTACGGATTGTCCCATGTTGGTGGTGTCTTTTCACTTGTTTCGTGACTTCTGTGCCTCTATGTCCCCTGATAACTCTCTCCTCCTCGTCTGTATAATACGCACTTCTTCGGGGCACTGTTATAGCCTCTGATGTCTTCATTCTCCTTCCGTTTTTGGTAACCCCTAAATGATACTCTAATCTAATACAAAGCTGGCTATGGTGTATATCTATTGGAACTTTAGCTTAATAGTATCATATATCCATATTGGCTTAATGAGAGGAATGCTATATTTTACAGGTTCTCCATAATGATCACAGTATAGTACAAAGTATAACCCAACAATCTCCAAGCTCACCTCAGCTCAACTCCAAGCTCTCCAACTAGCTTCTCCCGGACCTTCAGATGCATCTCATTACTCTCCTCATTCGTCAAAGTCCGCTCCAAGCTACGGTAGTTGATGCGGTAGCACATGCTCTTGCGCGAAGTCTTAGGATGCGTAAACTCATCAATGAGAGTAACATCCTCAACAAGGTCCCCACCAATCCCACGAACAATCTCCATAACGTCATTCTCGTGGAAAGGCACAGCCCCACCAGCAGCACTGCTACCACCTGTCACAGCCGCAGGAGGCAGCCAGAAAGCAACATCCTTATAGCAAGCCGGGTGCTTAGAGAAAGGTTCGAAGCGGGCAATATGACCAGCGCGGAACTGCGACAAGAACCGCTCATCGCGTGACCAGAACAGTCGGATATCAGGTATGTTGAAAAGAAGCATAGCAATGCGCTCAATGCCCAGTCCAAACGCCCAACCAATGCGGTCTGGCACGTCAGAGTTGATCAACAGATCCTGCTTGATAACACCACACCCCAGAATCTCCAGCCATTCGTCTTGCCAGAACACCTCCAGTTCCCAGGATGGGCTAGTGAACGGGAAGTAAGCCTCGACCCAACGCACCTTGAGCGGCTCCTGCTCCACACCACCATTACTCGCTGCAGCGGCCTTGCTCGCTTCCGTGAAGATCTTGATGACCATGCGCTCAAGAGAACGCTTAAGGTGAGCCCCCACAGCCTCGACCTCCTCGGCGCTGTGGTGCTCATCCTGCAGCGGGTTCCGCTGCGCGTGGATAGTCGGGTTCGGGTCCTCAACCACGACGTCATGGCGCGGGATTTTCTCCACGTCTGCCATAATCTTCGCTGCTGTTTCGGCCGATGCGGAGAGTGGGTCCGTCGCTGGCCGCTTCCATAGCATCGCACCCTCCATCTGGTGGAAGACTGGGTAATGGCTGCGATCGATCGCGTCGCGACGGTAGACATCCGCGATCACGGTGTATCCAACCTCCTCGGGACGGGTGTGCTCATTGCGAGCAATTTGCTGGAAATACGCCTGCTGGTGTGCGCTTGTGTGGGTGCGCAGCACTGTCTTGTCGTTCACGTAGTAGGTATCTGTGCGGCTGCGGCCCGGGTGGTCTGGGGGGAAGCCGAGGACGTCGAAATTTTGTCTTGTTGAGACGACGGGGTTCTTCTCCGAGTAATTGCCATAGCTTGGAGCTGCGAATTGGCTTTCGATGAGTTTGCGGGTAATGGCGAGAGGGTGGTTCTCGTCGAGGTAGAGTCGTCGTCCGATATGAGATAGGATTGTATCGGGGGTGTTGGTCCACTGGTCGGTTGGGTATGTCTCCCCTTCAAGTTTGAGGCTCGAATTTTGCTGGGGTGTTTTAGAGGTAGTGGCTGCTTTCGGTTCACTCCGGCGAGCTGTAGTTGAGCTCCATTCGCGGTTGCGGGAGAGAATGGGAGTCAGTGTGAGGGAGCGCGGAATGGCGGTTTGGGGTCGGATTGAGGCAATTGACCAACGGCCACTGCTTGCGCGCAGGGCTCGACCGGTAGCGAATAGCCTCATGGTTGAGTTGGACGTTTGGCGTGAGAATTGTCTATCAACCACTATCAACACATGTTTCGGGTCGGCGAAATTAGTTCCCGAAGTACATTTCTCGAGTCAATGTGCAAAACTAAATAATTATAGAGAGCTTAGCATTTACCTATTTCTAGAATATAAAGGTTTATGATTTGAATATGCTTGAATTATCTACGGTTGCTACAGCTGGCAGCCCTAGCCATTTCACCCTCGAGATATCTAAATCGAGGTTCTCTGTGTACTATGCCGATCATCACTTTATAGATTATACATCTGTTTTAGTATACAACTTAGCTCCGAGCAAAATCAAGCACTCTAGCTAATATTGAATTCTGCTTCAGATCTTTCTTTTCAATTGTATACGTGACCCCGACCGAATATAAATACTGTCGCATTTGCGCGGAGAAAACACCCGATAAACAATATATTGAACCAAAGTAGCCCTAGTTCTAATCCTTGCGATATTTCATACCATTTATACCCCGATTTACATCACTCTCAGCCATAATACTTTTCCCAGCGAGCCTTTATGCATATGGTATCTTGCCCCTCCGGGCTGCAGCAACCCTGGTAGTCCGAGTCCAACCGACCAATATCCGTAAAAACTCCGAAGATCCCCATGATAGCCGATCTCGTCATCTATCAGCCCTGTAAAAGCAATTATAATGGCTATATGCGCCAAGATACCCTCGGCATCCATTTCAATGACCGAAGAAGGACGATATACATGATCCCTGAGCGTGTCTAGGCCAGGGCTGTATGTTCCATACAAGAGATGTCCGGCGCAAAGGAAAAGACTGCAAAACCGAGGATATGATTGGTTCAAGTGACAAATCCCCATCAAGACATTTGATTTGATTGGCTGCTTCTTTACATTTCAGCGGGTGGCCGAGTAGCTTCGGGCTTCTGATTTGTCTCCGTCGGTATTAAAAGGCCAAAAAAATTACGTCAAGTCACGTTCGCAAAGCCGAAAAAGGTCCAAAAAAAAAAACATATTTTTTTTGAACACTCTCTCCCCGCACTTTTTTTATTTGTACATTTATAGGGGTCTTGTTTCCCAACAAGATGGCAGAAGGCAAGATGTTGGAGGTTGCTCCTCATTCCCGGCCCGTTCAGACGCAGTCGAAGCCGAAGCAGGTGCATTACCCGTTTTGGTTTGGAGGGTCGGCCTCATGCTTTGCTGCGTCCGTGACGCACCCGTTAGATTTAGGTATGTTCTTCATCTTCCCTCAAGTATACACTATTTGCTGACTTGCGCCTATAGTTAAGGTAATTCTAAGCTCCCAATCCTTCGTCCGATGGCCTTATTTTGGCCGCGATTCCGACCCCCGACGCTGATATCTGTTTGTCGCATAATAGGTCCGGTTACAGACTCGTACACCCGATGCGCCGAAGACTATGGTCGGGACCTTTGTCCACATCGTGAAGACTAATGGCGTCACGGGTTTATACGGTGGTGTACGTACGATCCCAAACTCTAGTCGATAACGAATACCCTATGGTTATCAGTAAACAAGCCCAGTTTGGCTAACGAAGGACGGATTGGATATGGGAATATAGTTGTCAGCCGCGATGCTACGTCAAATCACATACTCCACAACGCGCTTCGGTATCTACGAAGAATTGAAGTCGCGCGTTGTCTCGCCCACCTCAGATCCCAACCGCGCACCAAGTCTCCTCACTCTCATCGGGATCGCCTCTGCCTCCGGCCTCATCGGTGGCATTGCAGGCAACCCAGCTGATGTGATGAACGTTCGCATGCAACACGATGCATCGCTCCCTCCTGCCCAACGACGCAACTACCGACACGCATTCCACGGACTCATCCAGATGACCCGGACAGAGGGATTCAGTTCTCTCTTCCGCGGTGTGTGGCCTAACTCAACCCGCGCAATTCTCATGACTGCCTCGCAGCTCGCGTCTTACGATACCTTCAAGCGCATGTGTATTGAGAAGGCCGGCATGGCTGATAATCTGGGTACACATTTCACGGCCTCGTTCATGGCTGGCTTCGTTGCTACCACTGTCTGCAGCCCCGTGGACGTGATCAAGACTCGCATTATGACCGCTTCTCATGCGGAGGGTGCTAGTCATAATATCGTTACTCTTCTGCGTGATATCTGCCGCAAGGAAGGCCTGGGATGGACTTTCCGTGGCTGGGTGCCTAGCTTCATCCGTCTTGGTCCCCATACCATTGCCACATTCCTCTTCCTCGAGGAGCACAAAAAGCTCTACCGCAAGCTGAAGGGCATTTAAAGATCAAAGAGTGATTAATCCTTTTTGTGACTCTTTTTTTCGCACCGATTTCACCCAATCTTACAGCATTTACGCCTTCTGTCCGATATATTATCGGTATACACGATTTCTTGTCATTTTCTCTGGCTTTCTATCTGGGTGGTGCACTTTGGGACTCACACCCACCATTTTCATTTTGGCTTGTATATAACTTGCATTCTATCGGATGTTTCTTTCGAAGATTCGAATGACGGCCGGAGACGGCCTTGGAGCATATCTAGAACATGGCCCTGTGTCCTTGTACAGTGTGCTGGATGATGTATTTTTCTTGTCGGAGCTGGGATTACATAGAATTAGATACATCAACACTAAATCACATTCAGAGCATTTCCGCAAGGACGACAGGTTTTTACTCAATATTCTAAGTTGTCTTCCCAAATAGTTCGCAATTATTGCAAGCGTCCACTAATCAAAGATCGGCCTGTGCATTCTTTAAGTCAGAACAAGCACCAGCTAACAATACATTTCTCTCTACAATACGACGAGCTTTATAAACATATTCTTGCTTTACACAGACGGAAGGACCTAGGAAATAGAGGGGTTGTGTCCCCGAGTGACCCAGTAGAGTACATTGGAACTTGTCGATACATAAAAATTTGACACGCCTCACTTGACCAACCCAAAAACTTGACCAACCCAAACAGCTTGGTCATCTATTTGTCAAGCTTGACAGGGAAGTTTCCAGCCTCTGTCAACACAAGTTAGTATAGATAGAGACATATGTAGAGAAGACTTCTAGATACGTACCGCGCTGACTGTCCCAACGATCGGTCCAGGCCTTGGGGCAAAGAGAGCGGAAGGAGTGGTAGAACTGCGAGAGAAGCTGTTAGAAGCTGCTAGGTTTTTAAAATATTGTCGGTGTCGAAATTACCTGCTTGCAGGGACGGAAGTCCTCGCCCTTGGCAGTGGTACACTTGTAGTAGTCGACATAGTTCTGCCAGCAGTGCTTGGTCCTGCGGAGCGAATCAACGTTAGATAAATATAAAACACCCAAATCACAGCTTATCACGTACTGGTTCTGCTGGGGGAAACGGGCATCGTAGCCTGCGATTCGATCGAAAATTGTCAATTACACCATACATCAGCCGATCGGGGGATATCGGTCCACGCGCATGCGACGAGCGAAAGAAGCGGGGAAATATCTAAGGTTTTACGCACCAGCTGCAATTAAATTATTTTATTAGCCATTGACTCTTTATAGGGCTCCTGGCCCCGGTTTTCGCGGGAGGGGGTTAGTGGACTTACCAGTGACGAACTTGAAGGGCTTTGTCTCTAGGACCTCATCGGGGTCGGCTTCCGGAATGGCACCCATGTTTGCGATGTGTAGCTTCTTAAGAAACAACACAGAGAAAGAATTGGAGTGGAGTGGAAAGAGAGGAGGGGAGAAAGTGAGCCGGGAAGAGCGACGTTGGGTGATTGAAGCTGTGAAGTGCCGGGTATGACCGCGGGCGGTCAAGCGAGAGCCACTGAGCGTCTCGCTTTTACACCCGAGCCAGTCACGTTCTTGGAAAGCTGGTGTTCCAACCTCGTCCTCTATCCCACTCTTCTTCTGCTACTCCAGGGTTGAACCACATATCTCACTATGTATCCCACTCGCATGCTGCGGATGCAGCCCACTCGGGCCTTTGCTTTCCCTACTCCTGTATGTTCTTCCCTTCGGCAATCCCTGTGATCATACGATCGGCTCGGTTACTAACTCTTGTCTGTAGAAGGAGCAACAAAGTGGTATGCACCTCTGAGATCACCGGATCCGGTCATCAATGGAGTCATGTAGAATGACTATACTTTTATGAGGATAGCCATTGAACTAACCATGCGCCTGTAGCTCACACTATCTCCCAGCGTCTGCGCCAACTTAAGCGTGTGCCCCCCGAGTTGCTCCCTATCGGTATGTGCTATAGTCATGACTTCACAATATGAAATTTAACTAACGGTGTGTTTGATATCTAGGCTTCGTCCTCGCGTATGTCTCTCCTTGTTTGATACTATTTGCCGCTTGATTCCGAGATCACATGTCCGAGGCATGCCGGAATTTTATCCCCTATATCCCTTCTGGCAACCAAGCTCATGTCTTTCCCTAATGCTAACTCATAATTTCAGTGTTGCCATTGGCGCTGCTATCTACTCTTCTGGCAAGAAGCTGATGACCGACAAGACCCTGCGTCTTTACCGCAACAGCCCTGAGAGCCGTGAGCACTAAATGTACCACCATGTTTCTTTGAGCTCTCAGAATGCGACCCGCAGTTTTTGGATTCCTGCCGCTTGTATTGTTGACTAGGAGAATTTGAAGCCGATGGGCATGATTTGAGAAAAGCCAGTGGAGAAAAACAGGAATGGGCTCGAGATTGGAGCCCGTGTACATATTCCGGCTTCCCGAGCCTGAATCCTGGTGGTGTAATTGGCAAATTGTACTGTCGTGTGTGACTTGTGCTTTTTTGTTTGTCATCTTCGTCGTAGCTATCGTAAAGTGTAGCGTGCTTCACTCGGGCTTCGGCCCAGCAACATCTAATTGTTCCAATCCCTGCATAGCATCTTGGGGACGACTGCTTGCAGCCTGGGCCTCCTCCGCTGCTTCCCGATCCTCCTCACTGACGGCATGCTTGGCCAAATACCCCTCCTATAGAATACACCGGTTAGTATAGATTGCGAGTAGATATAAAATCGAACCCAACGCACCTGTTCCCAGATCGCAGTCTTGCTGCCTAGTCCCTCGTTGGCATCCTTCTGCGGCTTTGCAGCGGCCACTTTGATGGTGCGCCCGTAGATCTCGCTACCATCCATATTGTCGATTGCTTCTTTGGCGTCTTGCGGCAGATCAAATTCCACATATCCAAATCCACGGTGAGCTTCGGTCGCGTTGGGCTGCTCCGGTTTGGGCAGCGAGATATCAACGACTTCGCCGAATGGAACGAAAGCTTCCGCAAGTGTGTGCGCGGTCACTCCCTGGTCAAGACCTCCCACGTAGATGGTGCTCTTAAGCCGCGTTGTTTCGCTCATGATGTGTAGCTGCGCTTCGGGTTAAATCGGTGGATATTAGATTTCGATGGCGATGTGGCGAGATCGCACAGAGTAGAAGAATCAAGGAGAAAAGGGTGTGCAAACAAGAAAGAAGCTTTTTGTTCGAGACTCTGAATCCAAGCTGTATCTTGCTATCAGCCCAGAACGGAAGATTGATATCACGTGCAGCTCACCTCGGAGTGTTTTGGCGAGTCTCAAAGCGGTCTAGCGTGAGTTCCCCGGTCCCTCCAAGTCCAGGAGGCCACTTGGTTACTGCTATACTTGGAACATCTAGAGCATCACCCCATTGTCAATTATTCATAGGGGGTGGTTCTTGATCCCTCTCCTTCCACATTACTTGAGATTTATTGTTCCTTGGATCATACATTTCACACACTCTATTGGTCTTGATCCTCACCAACACATACCTCCCCTGCCATCATCATGGTGCGTCTAAGGGAAATCCCAAGGACGGCCACCTTCGCCTGGTCGCCTGGGGCTGCGTCACCATTGATCGCAACTGGAACTCGCGCTGGCGCTGTCGACGCCGACTTCTCTAATAAGACATGCCTCGAGCTGTGGGACCTGGGCCTTGACCGCGAAGATGCTAGCGAGGAGCTGCAGCCACTAGCTAAGTTTGATACCGACTCAGGGTAAGTGGGTCTTTGGGAACTTGAACGAAAATGAGCATGCTGACCGATTAATGTGACTAGCTTCAATGATGTGGCCTGGACAACGTCCGAAGATAACAAACGGGGTATAATTGCGGGTGGCTTGGAGAATGGCTCACTGGAGCTGTGGGATGCTGATAAGCTACTTGCTGGATCCAGGTTGGTTGAATTCTACATACGAATCACATTTCTGGGATATCTTGCTGATCGTTCAATTCCAGTGATGCATTGATCTCAAGAACCACTAAGCACAGCGGCGCCATCAAGACCCTTCAGTTCAACCCGAAACACCCGAACCTTCTGGCAACCGGTGGCGCAAAGGGAGAGGTAGGCTGCGATTCGAGGATAACGGGTTGAATATGTGGCTAATTACTGGATAGCTCTTCATTTGGGATCTAAACAACATCGAGAACCCATTCCGGTTGGGCAACAACGCGGCCCGCACCGACGATATCGACTGTTTGGATTGGAACAGAAAGGTCCCTCACATTCTGGTCACTGGTAGCAGCTCCGGCTTTGTGACTGTCTGGGATGTCAAGACGAAAAAGGAGAGTCTGACACTGAACAACAAGGGCCGGAAGGCTGTCAGCGCAGTCGCATGGGACCCCGAGAGGGTATGTTGGCACCTCTTACCTAGTAATTCCAAGATTGCTGACCATTTTCACGTCTAGCCCACAAAGCTTATTACATCGTCACCCCTCGAGTCAGACCCAGTGCTCTATGTCTGGGACCTGCGCAACTCCCACGCCCCGGAGCGGGTAGGTTACTCTTTCAGAGCCCAGATGTGACTTAATACTGACAATGATTTGTATAGACACTCACCGGCCACGAGTCCGGTGTGCTATCACTTTCATGGTGTGAGCATGATCCAGATCTCCTCCTCTCTTCCGGCAAAGATAACCGTAATATCTGTTGGAACCCGCAAACTGGCCAAGCATACGGAGAGTTCCCCGTTGTCACAAACTGGACCTTCCAGACCCGCTGGAACCCCCACAACCCGAACTTCTTCGCAACCGCGTCATTTGATGGAAAGATCTGTGTCCAAACCCTGCAGAACACTAAGACCGATAACGCCCAGGCCATCGCCGATCACAACCAAGCCTTGGACGGCGAAGATTTCTTCAACAAGGCGCAAACGCAGCCCCAAGTCTCCAAGTTCTCTCTCCCAAAGGCTCCTCGCTGGCTTGAGCGGCCTTGCGGTGCTACTTTTGGCTTTGGAGGTCGGGTCGTTTCCTTCGGTCTGACCGAGAAGGGCTCTCGTACATCCACTATCAAAATCACATCGTTCGAGGT